ATTTTGAAGTATAACTCCAGGATAGACTTCATTCCAGCTGCCCTATTCCTTAATGTTCCAACTGTAACCCCTTTAAACATACTAGCCACTCCTCTTAGTCCTAGACACTCTCTCCAGGGCTTTTTTTGGTCCAACTGATAAGCCTCAACTGCTTGACCCATATTCCTCTCCCTTTCCTCCAATTCCTCCCTTTTTTTTAGAGATTTAGACTTAGCATACTTGACCATAGTGTACTAAGCAGAATAGAGAGTGAGCAAGTAGAAAAAAAAGAGTAAAAAAACACTAATTTATTAGCAAGGGTATGGCAAATGCTCTGACACGATTCTCACACGAAGGTTTGGCAAATTACATCATTGTGTCGATCATTTCTCTCTCTGTCACGCTTTCTTGACTTTTCTTAATGTTTACTTTTAATAAATTGTACAACTCAGTGTATTAAAATAAAAACTGCAGAATTGCATATTTTGGATACTAATAATCATATATGCAAAGTTTCAACTTGATTGGATTAATAGAAATATCACCAGAAAATTTGCAAAGTTTACTACAGGACAATTTTACTAAATTCTTTAACTGTCTGATTTTTCTTAATTTTATTTCTTGCTCAATTTCTCTCAAATCTTATATATACATTCGGGTCATATAGTAATACCTTGTATTAAATTTTCATAAAATAATATTAAGATTTGAGTAAGATATTACAGTCTGTTTAAAGGAACGGTTGTGTTTAAAGGAGCGGTTTTTGACTGTAATGTTAGCTATATCTCAGAACTTGGCAACTTTGTTAAACTGTTCAACACATTTCATACTTGGGATACTGTTGAGAATGAAAGTCTTACCCTTCCTGATGGATTTGAGCCTGTTACAGAGATGAACCAAAGTTGGTATCCAAAAGAGGCCCTAACACCTGGATGCAGAATGTCCAATAATATTCCTTCTGACGAATACCAAGGTAACATGCATCAGTCCGACTGGGAAATGAGTATTGATTCAATATTTTACCACTTTCTGGAAGAGCTGCCTGAAGAAGAAGTGTTCTGTGCATATGAGCTGGAAAACCACTAGAGTCTAGAGCTGGAACATGAACTTGGTAAATTTGACTAAGAAGATATTGAACTGTATCTTCAAATGCCGAGCTTCGAATGTTATCATGGGGACCTATGGCTCAATTATGAATATGGATACACTATTGACCTCTCAGAGGAATGGTTCTCCGTCAGCAATGTGGATTCCCTCCCTGGAATATCTCCCAAGGAAAAGATACTACAGTGTAGATTCAATACTGTAGCCCGTATCGGAAGCAGAGCTTGCTGCTTACAAGACTGTGGCTTAACCTGATTCTAAGTGTTAAGATAATTGTTGAGTCCACCTGGATGCCCTGCCAAGATGGCCAGTTGAGCATGGACATTTCATCAACCATTATTTGCTCTCTCATTACTGAATTGAGATGGGTAGTGTAGCTAAGTTTATGACGTCGAGATACGAGATTATGTAAGTCGTTCGCATAGTTGTCAGTGGCACATTGTCACCAGCCATGCATGGGTTTATCCTTAGACCATAATCCGGACTGTGCACAATGGGATGCTATTGCATAGTAAACTATGTCCATGACAGTATACTCATTCCTTGCAAATGCAGTCCCTCAAGTTGCTAAAACAATGATTAGGCTTACATTTTGCAGAAGCAAGACATCACTATGGAGATCCAGAGGGTTGTGGAACGGACCTTGTTGCAACGGTTCCAACCGATGAAGACGAGTACAAAGGTAACGTCAATTAGTCTGACTGGGAAATGAAGACTATTCAATATTTTGCTGCTTGTTAAAAGAGTGGCTCGAAAAACAAAAGGATTTCTACGCATCTGAATTGGAAAGACTCAACGAGTTGGAAGAAGAGCTTGGTGAAGTTGACGAAGAAGACATTAAACCGTATCTTCAGATGCCGGGCTTTGAATGTTATCGCAGTGGCCTTTGGCCCAATTATGAATATGAATACACCATTGACCTCTCAGAGGAACGGTTCTCCGTCGGCAATGCGCATTTCCCTCTCTGGAATATTCCCCGAGGAGACGATGGAAAAGCGTGGATCAAATATCTGGACCCCGACTCTCATGGAATCTGCCTACGCCCCGATACACCGAGTCAGCACTGCCATCGTGTTCCACTGATGCTGCAGCCTGTATCAGAAGCAGGCCTTGCTGCTTACAGGACTGTGGCTTTGAGTGTTAAGACAATCAATGAGTCCACTTGGATGCCTCATCGAGACGGCAAGCTCAGCATGGTCCTTTCATCAACCATCATTCGAGCTCTCATGATGTATCACTACACTGATATGCAAAGCAAATTTCTTGTAGAAGGCGATGATGCGGAACCGCTTCAAACATATGCCCAACTTCTGTTGTGTGCTGCATCCCCTGCAGGCTTTATGCTTTCCAGTCTGCCTGCAGACCCATATCTCGGTGATCCAGTTAGAAGACCTCCACGTGCTTTTTATAGATACAGAGGTTGCATTATTTTCGTTACTCTAGACTGTTCGACGCTGGAACAGTTGCAATCCAATATCGGACTCACAATTGAACACGCACGAGAAAATAGGACAGACGACTGCACATTCATCATATTCTCCATCCACCACATAGCGATTGCGATGATATCTGGCGCGGTGACAGGCGCACTGCACGTCTCTCACAGCAATATTATACTGTTTTTTGCGGCATTTGGCTTTGAGGGTCTGGAGACTGGCCTTCATCTCATCGCTCATTACCTTCGACCACATTGCATTGATGGAGGTGTAATTACAATCATTCCCTTCGACGTTCTTATCTGAATCATGGATATGGTTGACTCCGAGACGTACAGCGCCTTTAGTCTGGTATGCAAAGCCCTCCGAAGAGAATGGTTCCTGCATCCGCGAATCTACGATTATAGAATTTTGTCTGGAAAAACGTTCAAGATAGAAGATTGCAAATACCTACCTGGGTGTATGCTACGAGCTATGAGTGAGAGCGGGGAAACGACAACCCTAAGCATTTTCTATCCTATCCAGAACATCTATCGTGAATGCGAGTACAGGCATCTCTTGAAGCATGGGCACTGGAATTGTCATCATTGCTGTCCGTGCCCGCGCCTTTGCCTCCGGGAAAAGTGTACGAAGGCTCTCGCGCTCCAACCTCTGCTTGGATGTGAAGGAACGTATCGACGTCCGAAGGAAAACCAAGAGCACACCGTAGTACAGCGTCCAGAGGATCTTTACAGTACTCTTACTAAGAACTGGGGAGCGTACGAACTTAACCTTTTTATTCTTGATGCGAGTAAGGTATGCAAATATTGTTCTCGCAGTATTAACATGATAGAAAAGAGGGAGGCCGTGTCTGCATCCGGCTCTCTGGAAACAGAAGTGGTGGAGGAGCTACCCGAAGAATCCGGCTGTATTATTGCGCTTGTCTCGAATAGTGTTATTCACCATGTACCTTTCGGTTCTACTTTACAAGATGAACGGGCTTCGAGTTTTCTGAAAGCTGATTCTTTTTGACACGCAGCCAATTGCTCCGTTGCCTCTTGTGGCAAACTTACGTGACTGCCAATACGCTGGTTCGTCGCTTTACATGAAACCTGACTCATGCAACCCTCTGTACTAGATTTTACGTCCACTCATAAGACTACTGCACTTCTTTATCAAATAACGAACGTAGATTTGTACTGGGTATAAAACAAATACGTAGAAATGAATTTCGACGCATTTTCAGAGCGAAAAAACGTCGCGATAGACCCTGACTGCAAACATGTCTCAAAGCATACATATATGCGCTAGAAAACTCAGAATTTATGTCTAGAAAGGAATAGATATTATTTACGGGATAAACTCGTTATCTGAAATACTGTATGGTTCCTTTTTATTTATTAAAATGTCAATGATTTTATAATTCATTAACGAAATCGTCTCGCATGTATTGAATGGGGAATTGGGATTTTTGCATATTTATCGATTTCATTTGAGAATTGCAAATGGGAATAATGGCATGCGTTGTGTATGAGAGAACATTCGAGGATACATCTCTGACGGAAGTCGCTCATTTGAACTGATCGAGCCAACACGAGTAATTGATATCCATCTCAGTAAACAAGGTTACAGCTACCTACTCTGCAAAGTCCCACAAAAACACTGCAACATAATCAAAGGATCGAAGAAAGGGGAGACGGGAATTTAACGAATGTGGTGAAAGATAGGATAACAGATACATTAACTTATAACAGATATAACAAAGCTATGGCATTCCTATGGTAATTTACCATGGCACAGGTGAGGGAGGCGACAGGCTTCAAACACCTGGACGCGTGAAGTCGTCAAACGGTGGCCAGTTACCTATTACGAAAAAAAAGGTGATTAGTCGATGCTTTGCGACTTCCAATGTTAACGCACCGAGTTCTGCAGGATCGCCTCCGATGCGGACCCATTGGGAGTGGGAAGGTGTAGGTCCGTCGAGTACGAAGAGTTGGAACCATCCAGGGGGGCTGACGTGAGCGTTAGGCGGAGCAGTAATCGTACAAGTGTTGCCCGAGCAACTAAATTCTGGGAAGATTGTGCGCGCGCCCATGCTATTACCATGCGTACTCGAGACCGCTGCAAACAAGCAATTACATATTGTATAATTTGCAATAACGAAGAAGACATACCTCCAATAAGAGAGACTCTCATTGTACTCGTCGTGCCTTGGTGAAGAGTCACCGTGATGGGAACTTGCTGGCCATATGCCCAATCCGTGTTCTCAATGGTAAAGGAAGGTTGTGTCAGGCCTGATGTAAGGTATGGAGGAATATAGACCTCGACACGATACTCCTGCGGGAACTTCGGGTCTTCCGGGTCGGATCCTGAAACGAGTACACGCCCGTCAGGCAGCAATATGGCTTCAGAATGATACAAGCGTGCAACGATCGTCGTGTTCAAGATGGAGAAACGCGATCCTATTGGCTGGCCCGGGTCATACAGCAGTGCTTGCAGGTTTGGATCTGTCGCAAGGCCGAAACCAGCTACTCCCTGTTGCGCTCCGTTCATGATCATGTATGTGCCGTCTGGCATAGGTACCATGCAAGTCATGACGCGCTTCGAGGGCTGCGATGGTGCGAAGCTAAGTGCCTAAATGACATGTAAAGAATGAGAAACTCACCATGCGTTCAATGGTCCATTGAGGATTTTCCACCTCCGGCTGGGTCGTCACGCAATTATCGAGTGCGATAGCAGGGCCAGGTGTCGAGCCACCACATACAAGGATTGTGACCGGATCTGTGTAAGGAGCTGACTGAGGAAGCATAACGGCGGTGCCTTCCATTGGGTAGGTACGTCCTCCCAGGAAGTTGTCCACGGCGCCGGGAACGTTGGGAAGTTGTTTAATGGTATCAAAAGTAGCTTCATTAAGGATACGCGCTTCGTTGTAGTAGACGACGAAGACACCTCCCGAAGGAAGGACGAAAAGGAAGGGATAAAGGTTATTCGGATCCGTGAGTTGCAACCAGTCCATGGTGAGGACTGTTGATCCACCCGCAGGAGTAGGAAGAATTTCAAGCGTCGGAACCGGAGGTCCATTGCTACCATTCTCTCCACCAACGACGAGAATGGTACCGTTAGCCATTATCATCGCACCAGGGTACCATCTACCATTCTGTGTGGCATACAATTAATGGCCGTGATAGTCATAACCTGTACAGAACAGCGTACCTGGAGGGTCAACTCTTGGACATTTTCCTCCCAATCCGTAGTCCCGTTGACGCCGTCAGATCCGCTCGGAGTATACAAACGAATACCGAAAGTCGAGTCCAATGACCAACCACCAACGTTGATCAGACGACCAGCTTTATCTGGAAGAGTCAAGCCGGCAGAACAGAAGACGTCCGTCTTGACATGCATTTCCCTCCATGCTTTACTGAAGTCATCGGTGAGTGATAGATCCAGTTCGTAGGCACCTATAAATCCAATGAGTTATAAAGATAATTGCAACATGTGATAAGTTACCCGTTGAATTAGGCGGTCCTGTCCCGAACTTCTCGAGAAATTGGACCTTTTCGTTAATGCCAAGGTTAGCAATGAGCGGTACTACAAGACCACCAATCAAGAACTAAAGTTGTTCAGTCATTAAAGTAATTTTTATCGCGGTCGGAAGAAATGAGACGTACCTCATAGCGCCCAGTATTTGCTGGAGTGTGCCATGTGTTAATGCCGCCCTCCCATTCGTAGAGACTGAGGCGTTCGGCACCACCGCAGAGATGAATCGGGTCGCCTGAGCATGCCATAGCACAGTCGGCCTCTGAGGCATTCTTACCGCCGTTATTAGCAATATCCTCGACATCACCACACCCTTTCAGTCGATCATTAGTTGACGAATATGGACAGGAGGAACTCGAAATGGCGTACAGCATTCATCACCGAACTCCATGCCTGCCGCGGGGTAGCCATAGGTCGAACAGAGTGACAAGCAATTGGTCGCCGAATTATTCTTCTCCAAAATAATCTGATAAGGGAAAACGCGATCGGCTCCAGGTTCCCTACGAATCGAATGAGAACAAAGTACGGCAAGAAGACAAATAATATGGACGTACGCGAGACACCCGACATATTTCCAGTTTCCGGGCAAACTAGTGTTTTGAGGTGTTGGAACTGGCAGAGTCGTCACGTTACTGGACGTCGAGTATATGGACATCCGATTCGGACCGCCACACGCTTCGCTAGATGCATAAGGAACGGGATTCCCATGCGGGAAGAAGGTAGTCCGAATGCGGTGGTGAAGTTAGAGCGGTCATGAGAGCGGGGTATTCATAATTCGCGCCGAGGGCCAGATTACGGGGTCGGATCGACCAAGAAGCAGTGATCGAGCAGATCAATTGCGTACGAGGCGGACCACAACGTCAACCAGATGCCATGCGTCAGTTAGAAGAATAGCGAAGATTTGCCGTCAGTATACAATTACAGTGGCGTCAAGTGATGGATGTCGGAAGAGATCGTATCTCGCACTGGCGCATACAGCCAGAAGTAAAATAAATCAACTTACGTCGAGTTGCCGCCGCAGGCCATGTTGCAATCCGTGTCAGAGGCGGCTAAAACACCACCGTCGATTACATCGTTGTCACAGACTACAATCAGACGGTCAATATCGAATTACGTTTCAGAACCGAAAAGTTGTAGATGGAGCGAGTGGCAACTGGTTCTACTTCTAGACGCACAAGAAGGGTGCGAACAGAACACTGCTAATTTAAGGCAAACTTACAGCATTGTACTCCAAACTCCATGCCGGCTAAGGAGAAGTTGCCTCCCTGGCAGAAGTCAATGCAAGACTCCACGGTGAGCGAATCGTTATCAGGCTGCTCAGTACCCAAAATGCGCCCGTGAGCGTTGTCTCTAGGAGAAGTTTTTTTTTTTTTGGTTGAGACGCTTACACGCACAAAAAGAAAGCACTTACACATAGCAGCCGCTGTAGTTCCAAGGGGTAGGCAGCCCCGAAAGAACGGGATGAACGTTTGGATTTGCACCTCCACCTCCACCTCCGCCGCCCGCGGGTGGATTAACAACAGGAGGGCCAGTGATTGTTCCCGTGAAGTTATACAAGTTCAACCTATTCGGTCCACCACACAGAGTTGAGGAGTTTCCTTGGCAAACCATGTTGCAGCCAGACGATGCGGGAGCGCCTGTGCCCTCAATGCTGGTCCCGCAGAAGCATTGAGTCGCGAACTCGAGACCTGCGAGCGGGAAGTTGTCCGCCTGGCATGCGGCAACACAAGCCGGAACGGTCATATCGCCGTCTACGCCGATGGGTGTAGAAAGTGTGCGATCATTAACGTCATCTCTAAATAAATAATTGTTATACCATGTTAGTCCATAAAGATTACGACATAGCTTGTTAATAGTACGGACGTATAGCAACCTAGAGAGCCCCATTGGCCTACGCTTGGTACCTCGATTGGTGCCGGAGGTGGAGTGCCACCAGAAAAGAATAGATTTAATCGGTTAGGACCACCACATGACTCGTTTGCATCGCCAGTGCATCCCGAGTTACAATCTGACAAGGATGCATTTGTTCCGCCATTTTCGATGAAATTATCACAGTCTATGAAATTGAACGTAAAATCAATATTAATAAATGAATGATAGTAGCATGGTGTGAGGAAATTACTCACAGCATTCTTGACCAAATTCAACACCGGCAAAAATGAAGCTAGAAGACTGAGCCGGAATGCCATTGGCTCCATTGTTTGAACCGGAGCAGAATGCAATGCAGTTCTCAACAGTCATCGCTGTAGTGCTCGTAAATGTTGCACCCGTGAGAGTCCGGGAAGCAGGATCATCACTTCAACAAAGGCAAGGCTTTAGTCACAGAAGCAGGACTAGTCTAATCCGAATGCGACATACGTGAAGCATCCTCGGCTAGTCCAGTTTCCAGGAAGCGAACCTGGAACGCTCTGACGCTTGGAATGTACTGCACGGATGTGCGGTTCGAAGGATCGGCCGAGCTCTGAGCGGGGGAAGGCAAACGTCGTCGGAGTGAGCTGGAATTCCGGTCAAGAACCAATATTTCAATATGACGTCGACAGTAAGCCAATTGGGAAAATAGATGTTAGCAATTACTTTATATCAGACTCAAAAGTACGCACAACGAGCAGCGGGGCAACGAGCAAGCCAGCGTACAAGGCGCCGTTGAAATGGGAAAGGGGGTGACGTGAAGAAAGAGAGTGTGAGGACCACGACATTGTAGAGAGTAAAGCGACGTATAACCCTCAACGTACGCTACTATCGGCGGGACACAGGGTTATAGGGAACAGCAACCTTGCCAGCGAGGTTTTTATGCATCTCGGAAGAGCAGATCGCACTGTTCTGTATGCACATACGGAAGTCTGATTAGGAAATCATCCGTACCCAGGCGGGGAGCGTCGCGTACGTACGTGCAAGGAGAAAGGAGTTGTGAAGTTCATACAGTTGGATGATCGCCATTCATTCGGTCAGCGCCAGGAGAACAACACCGACAGACTTGCAACTGACAGATGCGTTAGAGTTAATCAAGGTACGCGGCATCCATTAACATGGCGATCTCAGGCAAGTGAGACGGAAGAAAGATCCGAAGCTTTCTCCTTTCTCCATACAGGTCGACAGGCGCAATTTTGCCAGAGGCGAAATCGAAGTTTATGAACGGCATCGCCTTGATTGTGGCGACTCTAAATGGATCTCGGTCGGGAAACATGTGCTACATGCGAATTCGGCCAGATGCCGGAGCTTAATTCGGATATAGAACTGTATGTTTGCAGAAGCGGTGCAAATGCCGCATTTAGCTCTTTGACTTGGAAGAGAGGAACGGGGATGAGGAACGTATGGAAGACAGTGGGCGGCGATTGGTATTGGCAATGGATATATGATGCTGAAATAACAATTCAATAAGGGAGATTGCACGTCCATTGCACGTCCATTGCACCATAGGCTCACCCATGAACATGGTAGAGTGGACTGACTTGACCAGCAGGTTAAAGCAGTCTCCGTATCACAGAGCTTTTTCACATCGGACTAAATTGAGGTGGAGTCATAGCTGCATCGAAGGGTGTTAATCCAGCCTCACGCGATATCGCAGGGAATTAGTAGAAGGCTTTGTCTGTTCCCATGAATGGAGAAGGAAACAGAGTTTGTTGGCAAGCAAGGTCACGACCTCAAATACTCACGTGACCGTTTCTTGGAACGTGACTGACCACCTGCAAATTACATTACGATACGGTTGTTGATCCTGAACTCTTTAACGCCTGTCCAGGAGCTTTCCCCTTCTTCTACGTTATGATAAATTTGACCATCAACCTACTTTCGCGACCTTCAAAGTCCCGGGAGTCATTATTGTCACCGCATATCATGCGTTCCTCAACAACAGCACATGGGAAATCGGATACGTTGACAGCATCTACTGAATTGCAATCTTCGCAGCCACATTTCCCCCTCTCCCGCTGGCACCTTCAAGCCGCTTTGTTTCCCTCTTATTCATCAATGACATCGGCTATGCCAGAGGTGCTTATCGAGTGGGGTGGATCCTATGATCGTACCGCGAAAACGTGCTCGAGTGGGATTGAGAATTTCGTGATATTTTTATCATCTTCACACCCTTTGTACAGTTTTTCTTGGACAGACCGCGAATCTCGGGGCTAATATTGGTTTCCTGATGATACGCGAGCAAGTTTGCTTACGCTCTCCCGCAAGTCTGAATATCTGTCGTCCAACCTTCGGACCTTTGCCATAAACAGCCGACTTATGCGGGATTGACGCTATATTCAAATTTTCGTAGGCCTCCGGCGAAGCGAAAGCCACCCTAGTAATACTTAATGTGGACACTCGAAACGCTCTGGATTGCAATCAGTCCGCGTCGAGTCTAACTTTTCACATCAATCCACAGAAAATCAGGTACATCTGCTGTTCTCTAACGCCTTCCCCGTCCCTGATTTTCCCCGTCCCCAGTTGTCTGTGCTGTCAGGTCCACGATGCGATTTGCCTCTTGCCGACGGAGTCTTGGCTTCCGCTTCTGAACCACATGGGCCCTTTCAAACCTTCGTCAGCTCAGTACTTCAAGCGATCACCGCACCACACTCACCACGGTGTGAGGGATCCGATGTAGACGCATACCATATTTACATTCAAGACGATGATCCAGAGAAGATGAAAGAGAGGCGCATCCGAAGCTGCCGATTAAGGGGTGACTTCTATTGTTTCCCATCGCGGAGTAGGATGGATAGTGAAAATGCCTGTCTGTCCATTCAATATCTGGGTTGCACGCACAAGAGCTTCACGGGTACGATTTCTTCCCAAGCATAACTTTCGATACCCAGCATTCTGAGAGAATTGTCCATCCAAACTCGAGAAACTTCGCATAACTAATTATAACTTGACTCTGTAGCAAGTCTGAGCAATTCAGTTTCCAGCGATACAATTGACAGTTCGTCAAGCTCCGTGGAATGGTGTATTTCTCCGACGCGTCCGCCCGTTGTTTTCTATGTAAGTATATTGTTGTCCTACATGAGGCTGAGTCTTGTAGAAATTCAAGGAGTAAAAAGTACGCCCATTAACTGGATCCGCCAGGGTACCTCGGAGGCACAAGAAGGATACATTAAGCTTACCTTTTACCAGTAGCGACGTATCGGATCTCCCGGGAGTTTTTATATTAACGTACCTGTCTGAAGGAATCATCTTGATCCGCCTCGTCATATCTGTCGTGCCGGTGAGTCTTCGTCCAAATCGCACTTAGTGTATGATGCGCCCCGGATCATTTATGCTGAGCTCACATGGCCAGCTTCAGCATTCTTTCCGATAATAAGCGCTTTATTTTATCAGTCTATCTTCGTTCCGTCACCTGAACTCCGCGGTGTATCGTAGAGCTGCTACATGACCCGAGCCTTCCGATGCATGTGTGTCCTTCTCTTTATCTTGCATCTCAAGCACAAGTTCATTCACTTACCCCTAAAGCAATGGCGATTCCGCTTTAAAGTATGCCACAAAAATAATGAGACATGCCGATGCGCGAAGAAAGAGAAGTGAATGATTCCATGCCGAACAAGGCCTGCCGTTGTGCGTCTGCTCGGTACACTGTCTTATCTTTGAGTTTATCATTATGCGCTAGAATCATTTTCATTTGGAGCTGTGAATTCTCATTATGCTCATGAAAGGTTCATGGGCATATGCATGAGATAGACGCATTGCGTTAAAAGCATTCTAGTCATCGAAGCTCTTATCCTTTTCGTCTAGAATCATGTTGTGGAAACAGTTCAACCCACGCACCAAGAGTCAGATCTGCTCATTTTCCGCGTCTAGGTTGTATAAAGGCATATTTACTTGTTGAGTTTATCTGAATGCGTTTAGAAGTATTTTTCTAACTTCTGATGTCCGTTGGATTTATTTACATCGGGAAACGGGTATCGTAATTGAGAGACCTTCTAGTTCGTTAGAACGGTTATATGCAATTAATACTATGCCTTATCTCATACATAAGTGTTATGTAGGCAGTTCACATAGCTTTGCCAGTACTTCCTGCATTGTGTCCAGAACTATCTTGTGACTTCTCTTTTCAAGTGGTCCATCTTTTCAATTTATAAATATAGGGAATATAATTGCTGCAGAATGTCTGTAGAAAAAATAAAAAAGAGCACATACTGTAAGTATAAGATTTGATACTGCTTATACAAATTGTCTCCAACAAGTATACATAAACTATATTGCATAAATTTAGATACTACATGTACATAAGAGTATGTGTAAATTTTCTCAAGGAAGATACAACTATTGTGAACTGTTGTTATGAAAAGAGTCTTTTGTAGAAATAATTTAAGACCAAAATTGAAAACATAGCCACATTGAGTCAATCAGTATTAACTCTTATAAAAGCAGCTAGCACCAGAGGCAAAAACCAATTCTGAGGTCTGGAAATTTTGTTTCAGAATGTATTTTCAGCCAATCAGGTAGGAGCTTTTGGATTTTGTAATAAATTCCCAGGGCTACAGAATGCGAATCTGCCTCCTGTGTAGGGAAAATCTTTGAGCACGGATTCACTATTCTTATACATAGGATTATACTAATGCTTGTTTGTTTTTTAAAAATAAAAATATTATTTTGGCAAGAAGAAATGAAGCACTACAGCATTGTGACTGTAGAGCAAAGTTGAGAAGAAGGCTGTGTGACAGTGCCTATTGAAATTTCGCTGCGCTGCAGATCGACACGTGCTAACCTTTTCCAACATCTTGGGTCTATTGATGACGTCTAGCATGTCTGGGTCTGGGATACTTGCAAAACGTGTGAGATTGTTGGGCCTTTTCTACTGGATGAGAAGTTCTGAGATCCCGTGACTTGGTCTTGTGTGAGAACTAACATTACTGTTTTTGGTAATACACATTGTTCCCTATTTGCACCAATATTTCCGAAGCCCGGAAAGTTCGTTTTAGATTTAATTTCCAGCCAATCAGGAAGCAGAATTAATATCTCGTAATAAAATCGTAGGGTTTCGTAGGGTTTCGGAATGGATTCTGCCTCCCCTATTGGTGCTGCCGAGAGGTACGCGTGGCGCTGCGGCGGACGAGTCATGCAGTCATTAACGCGGTGAGCGGGACCGTATGTGATGGCCTTGTCTCTGTCAGCATCCAGCATGAGCAAGCAGTAGCTGGGTCGCTTTTCTCGAGTGTTTTGTCTAATTATCACGGGCACAGTTTATCTAAATCGTTCTCCCTTGTTCTATTTGCGAAGGTTGGTAAGTCCGGACCGACGGAGATGAGCGAAGATATGTCCGAGGGGCAGGCCAAGCAGAAAGCCCAAGCGTCGGCACGCAGAGCTCGTGAACGTGAGCTGTCAGCACGCAGGGCTCGAGGAGAAATATCCTGTGCAGAATGTCGACGGTATGTGACCATGTCGCTCTGATCGCACATTATGCGTCGTACGTGGTTATTGATGCGTAAGCAGGTTAAAACTGAAGTGCAATAAGAAGGTACTATGGATGGTTGTATGCATCGAGGCACGCAAATGAACTTACTGTTATCCTATAAGGTGCCATGTTCATCGTGTATTCGGCGAGGGTGTCATACGATTTGTCCAAATGGTAAGCTAGCTAGACTTCTGAGAATCGCGGATAGTTGTAAGCTCAATCATTTGTAGGATTGCTCACAACTGGACAAGGGTCGAGGTAAGTCATGCTGCCGAAGCTGAAACTATTCCTAATTTCGGCTTGGGCCAGATTCGTTCTGGCAAATACCGATAAGTTACACGGCAAACTGTTGCAGATGAGCGAACGCATACGGTTAGAATTTCCGCTTCTTTACGTCTACGTGTATCTCACGATGCTATTCTAGACAACTTGAAGACGCATTGCAGATTGCACAATCAAGCATCTCCTCAGCACCTCACCCTCTCCTTTCTGGGAAGTTGTTGTCCGTAAAATCAGGCGTCGACAGCCTGTCAGCCGAGCAGGACAAAACCGGCGAGGCTTCTGAGGATGAAGAAGAAATGTTTACGGCTTTTGGAACCTTGACAGTGACTGAACACGGCGAATCACGCTTTATCGGCCGTGTTGCGGCAGATGTATGTCTACTTAATGGCACATCAGAATTTCCCACTAACGTTGTAATTTCAGAATTTGCTAGCGGTAAAAATAGCTCTATTGTTGCGTCATAGACGACTAAACACGGCTAACGGGTAACTACTTTAGAACGAACCAAACGATGGGACATCCAACCAACTTAACTCTGTTCAAAGCGAGGAGCTGGAGATAGATCTTACTCTCCCAGATGCTTTGATTCATGCGTACAGGGATTTCCCCTTTTCCCGTGCACATATGCCCAAGATACAGTTGATTGCACTCATCATCGAGTACCTTCCTTCGTACGAACGGGCAACTGCACTGGCCGAAGCCTATCTTGAGAATTTAGCATGGTTCCCTCGTCCGATCGCTCGGGAGCAAATCATGGAGGACCTTATCCCATTCATTTACAAGGGTCGCCGCGCGCAGCTCCCGGATGATGCAAACGACGACGGGAAATACAATGGCGTCCATAGAATGCACACCCTTGCGCTATTGCTTGCAGTATTTGCATGTGGTGCGGCTGCTGATTTGACCCTTCGGCCTCTTAATCGAGAGGGACAGCTGTATTATTATTTATCCCGAGCGGCCTTGGGTCTCCATTCGATGATGGAAGGCGGAGCATCACTCGAAACAGTACAAACCTGCTCACTGCTTGGCTCCTATGACTTCTTCTCTTGTAGAAAAGCGAATATGGAATCGACATGGAAACTAGCTTCTCTGTCCCTCGTTCTTGCCGCAAGCGTATGTATTTATTTTCGTTTATTCGAGTGGATACTTAAGTATTCACTGGATTTTAGATTGGGCTTCGTAAGTAAATTTCCATTGACCTCAAATTCTGTCTAAAATTTTGTCGTAGATCGTGATCCTGCTCATTGGGATATGGAGTATAGATACATGCAACGTCGAAGACATGTTTTCTGGGAGCTCTATGCTCTCGATAAGTGGAAGGTTGGTCTAGTAATCCATTTCACAACCAAACGCAGATCTGAAACTGTTTCCGTATCAAAGAGCCTTGGAACTGGTCGACCTTCCATATTTCACCAGCAAGAAGTGGACTGCGAATTTCCCGAAGTTGACCCTGCCGTGGGTAGTGATGAGGACGCATTAAACGCTTGTGCGTACGCAATCACGTCTATAAAATAAACTTCAATAACTGATCCCACGCGAGATAGTGTTCAGGTGGCGCCAACGTTTTAACAAAGAAATTGCTGCGGGTTTAGCTGAACATCTAGGCATGACACGACCGATCAAGTTTTCCGAAATCATGGAATTTGACCGAAGAATCCGAGACTTTGCCGATCCACCAGTGCCTCAAACTGGTCCGGATGGTGGGCCAACTGACGACCCGAGATTTACTTTGTGGTTACAGCACAAGCAAATAGGTAATTTACCTGCATTGTGCTTGAATGGAAGTTGTAGCTTACCGCAGTCATGACTCGCTTCCAGCGCTTCTTTTTGTCCACAGAAACTTTTTCGCAAGGGCGATGATTAAGTACTCAGCAAATCCATTACGCAGTCCTTTTGCACCGTCATTCCTTGCGGCTTATGCTTGTTCGATCAACATTCTACGGTGTGCGCGCTTATGCTATGACCAGAATCCGGCACTGGTCTTACGGATCTGGCCTCTCTGGACTCATTGCCTTACATCGGGTGTATGTTTATTAAAGTTTTCCTTATTAAGAGTAAGTGTGCTAATAGGGAGTGAACAGGTAATTCTCGGTTCCGTTGCTTCCAGGGTCGAGCAGACGCAACTCGCGAATGCCGCGCTCCATGACCTCAAGCTTGCCATCGCGTTTTTTCAGAAGGCAGGGGACACACACCCTGTAGCGCAGCAGGGCTTGGTATGCTCGGGTTGAATTTAATTGTGGAGTGTATGCTTACACCGTATTTCTAGCCGGTCCTTACTCGTCTCCGTGACAAGGCGACTATGGCACTGCTGAGTAAGTTGGACGATATCGGACGGTCCCCGTCAGAGGCAGTTAAGGTGAAAGTCGAGCCTAACGAAACGGAAGAACTCAGAACACTTTCTGGTGCCCCTCGCTTAGTTCGACATAAACACAAGAGGAAGGAAGATTATGTTCTGGGGTCTCCGTCACAACGGAGCGCTAGCGATAAATCCAGTACACCAAAATCTAATTCTGCCAGCAAGGAGTCGTCGCCGTCCCCATTACTTGCAATGGAGACGTCTAGTAGTTTCACACCAGCGTCCTCGTTCTGCATGTCTGCCGGTGTAACAGATATGACCAGTCCGGGTGAACACGAGCCAGTTTTCTCACCGTCTGGTCAGTCACTTCCTTCCACGCAGCCAGCATTCACCCCAGCAGAACAAGATATCGATATGTTATTGAATATGTTCTACGGGAAAACTTCGGATTCATCTAACTTGAGCAGTGCCGGATTCGACTGTGACCCTCAGATTTATGGCCAACCGTCTGGCATCCCGCAGGTTTCCTCTCCTACACAATTCCAGCAGTATTCACAAGGCCCAATGGATCCCCGAACCCAGACGGCTTTCGCATCTGGTTCTTCTGGTATGGGAAATAGCCCATGGTTGTCTGATGCATCTCAACTTGGATCCATGATAGCTGGGGCGTTTGGTGGACAAGTTCCGCCTTACGATGCTATGGTGAACGCTGGGAAGACATCGCCAGCTTACGATACGGACCTCGTCCCTGGAAACGATTTTGGTCGACGGTCGGAGGTTAGTGGTGACGCTGCGCAGTTCATGGCGGATTGGCAGCTCCAAGCGGCGCTCCACGGTTCCATCTTCCCTGAAACAGGCGGTGATACAACTATGTCCTTCTAACCACAGGGTTTGCTGCATTACTTCTTTTCCCTTTTCTTTCTCTGTATTTACTGATATTATCGCCCTGGATTCGTTTATCTCTCTGTTTTCTTCATACTATTATCCCCTCTTTTGCTCATGTACATTATGACAGAATACTTGTACCCCAACTCCGTTTACTAAGACTTGCTTCATTCAAGATAATTAAAATAACCAATTACGTTCTAATTCACGGTGGGGCTCGGAAAAATTTCCATTGAGATTGTTAGCATACTTCACCCCTGGTCCATTTCGCCCAGAGATCGAAAACTAGACTTTGTTCTCAATACTTCACAGATTTCTCTCGATTGAAAAGCCCATACTATAGCATTTCTCTGAAATACAGCTAAGTAATAAGAAACTGTTCGTATGGTCTATTGGAGATTGAACAAACAAATGGAGTGATCTGCATAAGTTCCATTTGGAGGAAACGGTCAAAGATGCGCTCACACGACAATCATGGCGGAGGTTAAACTCTTACTGATTGCCATGTGCGCATCATAATTGATTGATAAGATTGACTGTGTTACTACGCCCAGTACATTCCTATGACCGAGTGACCGAACCGGGCGCCTCGCATGAGAACTTGAAACGTTCATAAATGCTATATAGCTCTGGGCGAATCCAAATCAGCCACCGCCATCATCTAGTCAGTACTCAAGGACAGCGACATTGGAGACTTCAATGGATCCCAGTCTTTACAAGGACTTGAAGACCTCTCGTGGTGTCAATTACCACTATTACTATCACCCAGCATCGGATTCTAGTAAACCCACATTGCTACTTCTGCATGGTTTCCCGTCGACGTCAACAGACTGGGCGCGTGTCGCCGAGTACTTCTCTAAGGAAGGCTATGGCGTACTTGTTCCCGACCTCTTCGGTTACGGCGGCACAGACAAGCCAACCGATCCAGATGCTTATCGTATGAAGAACATGACAAAAGATATCATTGATATCCTCGATGCGGAGAAACTTAATAAAGTCGTCACCGTCTCGCATGACTGGGGTAGCGGCCTCAACTCCCGGCTAGCGGTCTATTATCCGGATCGCATTTACGCCTTCGCGTTTTTCGCGGTGGGATACGTCCCGCCTGCACCCTTCGACGTCGATGCCATCAATGCAGCAAGCATCGAGAAGAATGGATATGCAAACTTTGGGTACTGGAAGTTCTTTGCGAAAGAAGGAGCTGATAAGACCCTTCTTGATCATGTACGCATGTTTGTCCTCATTTCTTTTTATGCCGATCCGCTCATACCATTTTTCCTGCCTTTATCATAAATTAGCTAGAGAGTTTCTTCTCGTTGATATACGGCAAGGGCCTTGACGGCGACGAAGGCAAGAAACACTTCTGCCCCGAGGGTGCGCTCGAAGAATGGCTCCTAGCAGATCGTAAAACAGATAAGCTTATCATTAACGACGAGGTATATATTTTGGATAGTTTCTTCTTCTACTCTCCTTGTTTCTGGTCCTGTCGACTAATATATTCATCTTGGCTTGATACGTAGTTGAAAAGGTCGTACATAGACATCTTCTCGAAGAACGGCTTCGCAGGTCCCTTGTGCTGGTACAAGGCATACGTCTTCAACCTAACCCAGCAAGATGATGCAAGTAAGGAAACCTCCCTCTTTCATTCTCGATCAAAGCTTAACAACGTTCAATAGAATTCCCTCAGTCTGCCTATCCCATCACGCAACCGGTTTACTTCGGCGCATGCACAAACGACCCCGCCTGTGTCGCAGAAGATAACATCAACATAGTTCAAGCGTTGTGTCCCAATGCCACTATTAAAGAGTTTAACTCGAGTCATTGGGTCTTGCATGAGTATCCGTCTGAAGTGAACGAAGAGCTGAAGAAGTGGTTGAATGGATTAAAATTGGAAGTACCAAAGAAGTCCAGCTTGTAGAAACGGTAATGTAATGTAGTATAGATAGTATCGTGATACATCAGAAGAGAAACGTACACTGGATAATAATATCTAGCAAACCATCTGCGCTCCACTGCATTCTGTTTCAGCCTTCCATTAAAGGTGAAAAAGGTGCAATGGTCCAAAGGCATTCATACGGCAAGGAAGACGGTATGGCGCAGCAGAAGCTGACGCATGAAATCCTTGTTTTGCCATGCAGAAAGTAACAAGATGTTGGCGAAGAGTTCGATCATGGTATATGTCAACATTAAGAGCTTCGTTCATATGACTATAGAAATAGCCATAGCTATACACGCCAGTGCAACGTATGGTGATAATCGTTCTCCTACATGTCAGCATCACGATTATCTCAGACATGGCTACTCTGTAAGCATGCAACAAGTATCTCGTACCTATTCGTGCACACATCCAAAAGAACCCAAGAAACCCAGACTTGTTGCGGTCAATGAGACCGGGCATAACCGACCGGACGTATGTGCTTGTGCAAATGAGAAGGAGAATAACGAGTAATAGCGATGGAAAGTAGAATAGTGCCGACTTTCAGTAAAGAGTCAGACCAAGAATTTGTTGGGAGTAAATTGTTACTTACCATTCTAGACGTTCGGTAAAGGTCTGAACAGAAAGTACTGAGAGCACTGAGCAGAGTTGTGCCCGACACGTTCCACGTCTGTTTCTGACCACGTGACAAGAAACACGAGCGTGTACCACATGGGGCATTTCACAATTCCTTACCTTAAAAAATAACTTACATAATGATAAACATTATTTGAAATTTATTTTCCCATTTTTGACCAGCAAAAATTA